ATATGTGGTTATCAAACATTTACGCTTTTTCACCTTTCTGTTTAATTGCGCTCCTTCTCTCTGAAGCCCCAGACTCCTGCCCGCTTCTCCTTAGCTCAGTGCGACATCTGTGCCTCATTTGGCCTGTCTCTGGAAGTTCCATGTCTGTGTGGACTCCCCGAAATTAAAATCTGCTTTTCTCCCGTTAATCTGTCTCATGTCAATTTGATTCTTAGTCTGGCTAGTAGGACCTTGAAGGGGACAGGACATTCTTGCTCCCCAACATCTGTGAGAACATCAGCCCCCACCAGCAGGCATGGCACCCGCCCAAAGGGAAACAGGAAGGAGGGCAGGCGGACAGACACTGGCCAGCGCAGCCATACGGGCTTTGTCTTCTTCTTCTTTCGGAAGGGGAAAAAAAACAAGACCCACTGTTTTAGCTACATACTCCTCAGGAGTGTGAACTCGTGGAACAGAAAAGAGGTGACTCTGTGGGATGAAGTTGAAACAATGGGTCCAGCCCTTCATTTCAGGAAGTCACAAGGTTGTTGTTTTTTTTCTCCCTGCAGTTTGGCAGTCGCTAGGTTCTTGGTTGCTGGCCTTCCCCTCACCCGGCAAGTCTCTCTCCCCAGACACAAGAAACCTCTGTAATCCCTGGAAGTGAGATCACAGAACAGTCTCCTGGAAAAATCATGGCACACTCAAAATTTTGCATCCAGCTCACTGTGGATTTGGGCCTTGACTGGATGCAGCACAAAGCCATGGGTCCCAACATTCCCAGACGCATGTTTGCAGAAGAGAGGAGATCATAAAAAACTGGATAGTGTGTTTTTAAAAACCAGTCTCCCCACAGAAAAATACTTTCATATTGAAGGTGTGAGTGTTTGATGAGAAGATAGGGCATAGCGGTGGAGGGTGTGGGTGCCTCGGCCCCCAGCTCCCTCGCATGCCTTTCACACTCCCCCCTCCCCTCATTGCCCGGGCCTGGGGGCCCCTCGAGGGCCGGGGTGGTCATCTATACCCACACGAGCCCAGAGTGCCCCTTTCCAGAGTTCCAGTCATGATTTCCTTCCTCTAAGATCACTTCTGCTAAAATAAAATGTTTTTAGACATTAGTTTTAGGCTCTTCACTCCAGTAAATGTTAAGCCTGTTGGACAGTAGCAGGGTCCCTGAGTTTTCTCCGTCTTTTTCCCTATCCTGCTTTCAGAAGATTTGCTTAAAAACAACAGAAGTAAGAGAAAGTAGTAAAATGAGCCCAAGGCAGGGGGTGAGGCAGAAGAGGCCAGCAAGACCGGGCGGGTCCCGGTGGCAGAGTTGGCCCCAGACCCCTGAGGTGGTGTGGGGGCCACTGTGTGAGCGGCGGATATTCTCCAGGCTTTAAAGCTCTGGACGGTGGGGAAACTGTCCCCTGCTCCCCTGTTCCTCAGTGGGGAAACCCACTCAGTTGTGCAGCAGGTCAGCCTCAGGCCTGAACAAGAGCAGGTCGGCCTCAGGCCTCAGGCCTCAGGCCTGAACAGGAGGCCATCGGTGGGCCTCTTCTGGCTACTTGGAAGTCTTGCCTGGCCAAGGGAAAGTCTTTAAGTCCATCCTTTGCACTTTGATTCTAGAAAACAAGGAGCAGGAAGGGCTTGCTCAGGGCCTTTTAGGCGAGGCCCTCCCCTTTGGAGGCCACACCTGGACACCTTCCCTACCTGAGCTGCCACTAAGTAACTTCTTCCTGCTGATAGCATGTTTCCCTCCAAACAACCCTGGAGGGCTGGGGCAGGCATTCTCCCTCATGTTTCAAAAGGAAAGCTAGACTATAAATTGATCAGCAACTTGGTCTGGCAGGATTTCAGGGTGGTGAGGGCGTCTTGGTAAAAAGAGGCAGAAAGCGGTGGGGGGAAATGGGGAGCATGGCTGGGTGACCTCTGTGCCCTCGAGGCAGTTAGGAGTTTCTGCTCTTTGCCCCAAGAACCATTCAGACATCCTTGGCGTTCTGTGGGTTAGTGCTCCACGTAACCAGGAAATAAGGCAGAAATCCAGAGACATGAGGAAGGTAGGGAAAGGGGCAAACAGCACTCCTTGGGGTTGGCTGTGAGCCCACTCCTGGACCTGCTCTGAGCTGAGCCCACAAATGTCCTCACTTGGGGTCCCTGCCTCTGCAGCTCCCACCAGAGCCGGTGACAGTGACTGGGTGGAGTTCCAGGGGCTTCCTTGGAGGGCGTGCAGGGAGGGGTGGGTCCCAGGGAGGATCGTGGTTCCTTTGACTAAGCAAGGATCCCAACAAGGGCCTCTCTCCTCAGCCCTGAGGTGGGGCTGGGAAGTGGAGGTCATTTTAAAAAAACAAAATTCAACTGAGTGAATTTGAAGATCTAATTGGCTTTCTTCACAATTCCTGAGTCCGGCAGCATCCCATCTAGCAAGTAGAGGGGAGCTCCTCTGAGCTGAACAAAAGAAAGGGTTTTAAAAACAAAGAGAGGGCATTAAAAAACAAAAAGAAGAAGAAGAAAGGAATTTATTAGCAAGGAGTCCCTTGTTTAGGCAAGTTTGTCCTCCTAAGGGGAGAAGATGGGGCCTATCAGCAATTTCATAGTATTGACCAGGAAATTCTATGTGAACTGGTTAAAGGTTACATTCTCCGGGGGCTTGACAATGCTGTCAGGTTAGGTATTAAGTCTTGGTTTGCTGACTGGGGGCCTTAATCTACGTGATGTCATTTGGGGCCTGTGGTTTTCCTTTTAACACCACTAAATACTTATCTGAGGCATGAATGAGAGGATTTTGTTGTATTCAGACACACACCCCTAATAGTGCTCAAACCCAGTTCTGTCCAATTGTCAAGGCATGTTCTCTTTCCTCCATCATGCTGAAAACAATTCAATTACCTTTGCTTCAACAGAAAGTGACTGCCTGCCCCCTGTGAAACAATCCTGGGCAGCCACAGTTAAGGAGACACAGGGAGGGGGGAGGAGTAGTTAAGACAGACAGACAAATTCCAAGTCTCATCGTAAGAGCGTGTGCTGTGTACGTGCTGAGGAGCCACAGGGCGTGTGAAGGTATTACTGAGGGAACAGAGATCACCAGACGCTTTCTGAAAAGGAAAGAACAAAACAAATGTAGGTATTTGATGAGCCACACATTGATAAAATGCCAAGGCCTAGAGGATTGTGTGATGAGTAAGAGTTCTCACCCTTGAGAGATGCATAGACTGAGATGCTATAGGAATTGGTTCACACGGTTATGGAGGCTGAGGATCCCCATAATCTGCTGTCTGTGAGCTGGAGAACCGGGAACGCTGGTGGTGTTAACTCAGCCCAAGTCTGAAGGCCTGGGTTCCAGGGGCCAATGCGGTGGGTCCTGGGCCGATCTGAAGGACCTGGAAGCTGGAGTGCCAGTGTCTGAGGACAGGAAGAGAGGGACGTCCAGCTCAAGCAGAGAGCAAATTGGCCCTTTCTCTGTCTTTTTGTTCTATTCAAGCCCCCAAGGATAAGTGATGCCCATCCTCATGCTTGGGTGACAGCAATCTTTTTTTTTTTTAAAGATTTTATTTATTTATTTGACAGAGAGAGA